TAAGATTTATTTTTTTTCACTTCTCCATCTTCTTCTTAAAACAACCATGGCATAAAATCCATCTGCATAGACTATGAGCGGTAGAGAACACTTGAACTTTCTCTCTCCATCCACTCAGTGCATGATGTTTTCCTGATTGGCCTTTACTTCCATTAAAGATTTCTAAAAATCTTTACCAATGCCTCTTTGTTTCATCTCATAGAAAATTTATTTAGGTAGATGAACACTTCCAACCCTGTAAGTACTTCCCAATATCAAACAACGAGCAGAAAGCCTGCGTGACTTGGAGAAAAGTTATTTATAGATGATTAGCTTAAAATAAGGTTCAGTCATATGTTAAGAAAAGCTTCAGTCATCCAAAGGGTATTGAGGCTTAGAGGAGCTTAAATCTTTAGCACCCTAAGACTGAAACAGGAAACTTGCATCTGAGTGTCAGGCCCTTCCACCCCAAAGCCTCCTCACCCACAGTGATACTTTCAAACCATCAGCTTTTTGCTCCAGACTGCAGAGCAGAGCAGCCCCCATGCTCCTGATGAGGGATGCTAGGGAACAGCCAATGGAGGTAGCAAAATAAAGGAGCAAATAATTCTGAACTGTTATAGTAAAATAGTCCATATGCAGTAGAACAATCCAAATGCTTAAATTAAAATTCTGAAGCCAAATATACTGAATAACAGACAACTGAAATTAAAAAAAAAAAAAAAACAAAAAAAACAAAAAAAACAAAAAACAACTACACTGCCATAAGGAAAAAAAAGCCTTTTTGTTGGTGCTAGCCAGAGGAGGAAGACAAAAAGGGACTACGTCAAGCACAGTAATACTGATATAGGCCACTACTTACTTTTTGTGTAGATGGTGTTGATACAGCAATACCCATCCCTGATCCTGGGAGAACAGAGAGCACTTTATACTAAAAAGAAAAAAAACACAGACCAAAGTCATCTTATGTACTGAACAACTGCAAAAGCTGCTGAGAAGGTGTGCTGGTTTTGGCTGGGGTAGAGTTCATTTTCTTCACAGTAGCTAGTATGGGCCTATGGTTTGGATTTGTGCTGGAAATGGTAATTCAGGGATGTTTTAGTTATTCCTGAGCAGTGCTTACACACAGTCAAGGGCTTTCCTACTTCTCACCCCACTCCACCAGTGAGTAGGCTGGGGGTGCACAAGAACTTGGGAGGGGGCACAGCTGGAACAGCTGACCCCAACCAAAGGGATATGACATGCCATATGATGTCATGCTCAACATATCAACCTGGGGTAAGGTTGGCAGGGCGGCCACTGCTCAGGGACAGGCTGGGCATCGGTCAGTTGGTGGTGAGCAATTGTTTTCATTTGCTTCGCCTGTCTTTCTTGGGTTTTGTCTCTCTTTTGTTATTTTCCTTTTCATTACAATGTATTATTATTACTATTTTATTTCAATTATTAAACTGTTCTTATCTCAGACCATGAGTTTTCTCACTTTTTACCCTTCCAATTCTCTTCTCCCCCACTCTGCTAGGAGGAAAGTGAGTGAGCAGCTGTGTGGTGTTCAGCTGCTGCCTGGGGGTAAACCACAACAGAAGGTTACACAACTTGTCGCTAGTATGTCCTCCCAGACACAACGAACAGACCTCTATTACAAGCAAGAAGAGGCCAGATGCTCTTCTCTGACCCTGGAGTCAACCAGCACAGCACCAGTTGTACAGCAAGAGCCTGCCTCTCCTCTTCCTCCCACACGCCATGGCACCCAGCCTGCCTGCCAGAACTGACCTCGGCCCCATACTGCGCACCCCGGTACTGTTATGGTGTGTGGGAGCTGGCCCAGCCACAATGCCAGGGACCACGCTGGCAGCTGGATGGTGTGGGCAGGTAGCACACCACAGCCCGATGAGTACATATGTATGTGAGAGTGTGCCTGTGCATATAGCTGAGAGGTTTCCCTAGAAGTAACATTCACCCACTGTTTAAAGGAGCAGCAAGCAGATCAGAAAAAAGCTTCTTTTAAAAAATTAAATAGACAAACAGGGTATGTATAGGTTGGTTGGAGTTTTTTGAAGAAAATCTGTAATGCTAAGAAGGAATACCGTTGGCTGAACTGGGCAATATCTCCAAGGGGGAAGAGACCCTGAGCCTGGTCTGTGTTTCTCACCCCCAGATAAAACCAGGCACAGTACATTTTTATGCTTGGCTGCATGGTCACTGCCTCATCTTAATCTAAAAAACTACACAGATGCAAAAGGACACTTATGGCAGTAAAGACCTACTAAACAACGAGCCAGCATTACTTCAAGTATGATGTTTAAAATCCATCAATATGAATTATTAATTCCAGTGGGAATGTTCCAGTTGAGCATAAGCTGTCTGCTTTATAGACATGTGATATAAATAGAAGGAATTAATTTGAAAATCCGAAGGTAATTAAACAGTAGACACTGGGCTGAGGTCTTTCTTTGCACAGCATGATTTAATTTGTGGCACTCATGGCCACAGCATGTAGCAGAAAGCAGGGGTGTCTGCTTTTAAGAGTAGGACAAGTTCAGAGAGGGTGACAAAAAGTGACACTGAACACCATATAGAGTGATGCAAGGCACCAATAACACCATTGGTGACTGCAGGCTGATAAAACTCAGCCAGAGGAAGGATCACATTATACTTGCCATGCTTCCAACCATCCACTTCTTGCCTCTGTTAGTGATGGGATCCCAACTAGATGAAACTCCAGCCCGATCCGGTCTGGCTATTCTACTGATTTACCTTTCTCCACTGACAATAATCCCTCTTCCCTCTGAGGCACCTACTTTTCAAGATGGTGCATCTACCAATATCAAACCCAAACTGAAGTTAGTATTACACAGTTCCTGCTAACAATAAATCTTCTTAAAACCTACACAGTTCTAGTCAACACAGGAGTTAAGAAAAAACACAACTTTAATTTTAAAATAATTCACAAGTGTAAGGGTTTAGTAAACTACTTTGTTATTATGCTCATAGTAAGTTTGCTTGTGGTGAGTCCAAATCGCTGAACAACAAACAGTTCTAGGAAATATTGATCAAAAAATTACATTTTACTTATAAAAACTATCAATGGCATGTTTTTTCAAAATAACATAAGCAGAAAAGCAAAACACAACAAGCTGAACAGAAAACCAGCTTTCTCCTCTCTCTGCAACACAAAACAGACATACCTTCTGAATATCTGTTATATCCGTTAGCTTTATAACTTTATTTCTTTTAGATGAGCCGGATTTGGAACTTTCAAAGCACAAGTAACTGAAGACAAAGAAAGAAAATGTTCATTTTGATACAGTATTCTAAAACAAAGCTTTCGATATCCCTCCTGTCACTTCTGAAATTTGAACCTCACAGGTTAAAATCAGCTTCAAAGAAAAGAAAGAGGCACAAAATACACAATTCTGTTGTGGCTTCTAATTTAGAGCAAACATTCGTAAATTCTAGATACTGGCTAACATGTTTGAAAGCCCAGAACATACCACATGTACACACACACACACAAATCTTATATTTATACTACTGCACTGAGTGTTTAAACCTGACAAGCATTTTAACAACACAGGAAGCACATATATCCTTAAACAGCTGAAATACCAAATCTCAGAAGGCTTATAAATCTTTTACCATCCTAAAAGATGATTAATGGAAAACACTGCATTAGTTTCACGTTATTGTGATGCAGACAAAAGCTCAGATTTCTAAACCTTGGAGAGTGCTTTCCATCACTAGGTGACATTGCATACAGATGAACTTCCATTCATGACACTCCAAAGCACTAGGTGACATTGCATACAGATGAACTTTACTTCCATTCATGACACTCCAAAAGAATTTCAGTGCAAGACTCAAAACGGTAGTGACAATACTTATTCAGCCCTGGGAGGCTGGGGGGTAAATAAAGATTTAAAAAACCCAAAATAAAACACCACAAAAAAATCAAGTATCAGTTTTGAAAACAGGGCTTGAATTTCTAGTTTCTTTTTGTTGCACATTTTTTCAAGGAAGCTATACCTTAAATTTGCTTTAAAAAAAGACACTAAGAGTATTTGCCAAATAACCATTGATCACAACTCTCAAAATACACTTAACTTTTAGGTTTCTTTTTTTGGTACATATATAGTTAGTATGTTATCCACATCAAGAACTGCAGCTACTAACAGCTGACTATATAGAGCTGCATTCCTACGCAAGCCTTTCCAAGGCAAAATCACATTTGTTATGCGTTACCGCACGCCAGATCCAGCTCTCCCTCTCCTATGTTCCCTTCTTGATGTTTTAAAGCACCATGAAATGGCATTTTTGTTTCAAAACACTGTTACTGGATTACTTTTAGATTCAAAACCATGAAATGGCATTTTTGTTTCAAAACATTGTTACGGGATTACTTTTAGATTCAATTTTTTTCATGTCTGTTGCATTTCCCTCCTAAGAAATGTGTGGAGTGCAATGACTCACTTTTCTGTGACATAAAGAACTCCATTCCTGATGTAGTCTGTAGGCATCTTCCTGTCTCTGTTAATCAAGCAACAGCGCCAACCATTTTCACACACTGAAAAAAATCATAAGAAATCTTGCTTTAAGAAAAACAAAGAGAGCGAGGCATTACCCCCCAAAGTTTCCTTATAAAACAGCAGAAAGCACTGAAAATTATACTTCAGATACCTACTATAAGGGTTTACAAAGAGAAGCCTAAATAAGGTGTTTCTAGACATCATAACACCTGTTTTGAACACTACTTTAAAACAAAACCAAACCAAAACCACCCACACAATTATTCCCTTTAACTGGACTACTCCATTTGCATTACCACAAAAGGCACGCTAGGCTGCGCATTCTTTCAAAGAACTGTAAGGCTGTGGAATGAAAGTGACTGTCTCCATTCATCCTCATTTAAAGCAAGTCTTTTTGTTTAAAAAGTTTATACCAGTATATTGCACAGAAAGGGAATTCAGCTTTAAACTATCCTTGGTTTTTTAGAAAATACTCTACTAATGTAGCCTTCCTGTTGCATAATACCTGCCAAAGGACGCTCATTTTCTGACAGGTTAAAAACTTCATGGAAGTTTCCCCTCTTCGTGGTATGAAAGCGACTTGTGTCTTCATCTTTGCTTACTCCAGTTGGGGCACTTGAGCCCACATAACTTCTGGATGCTGCTGTTTGAAGCTGCAGGAAAATAAACATGATTCCAAAACTTGAACAGCAACATTTAAGCTGCACTCTTAAAAACAGCTTGGCTAACTATTTTTCCTAAAAAAACCCCATCTGTAATGCAACAATTAACTATTTCAGCAAAGTTAACTTGGGACTACTGCACTATACTATTGCTATAGCACAAAGCTCTAACGTGCTATCTGAATATAACCTTTCAAAGTGCTGCCCTTTGATGGATATCCTTTGCAGGGGTGAAGACACATGGTGCTAGATGCACCTATCTTAAAACACTATTTTTGTAAAGTAAAGGGTATATCTGATTAGATACAGCAAAGGCACTACACACAACTCCAATGATTATACTGGTGGGACTAATAACAGTTAACAGATTATCAGTACTTGGCTTGTCTTCAAGAGACAGACCAAGCACAAATACTATTGAACAAAATAAGTTTAGAAAGAAAAATGAGCAAACAAAGAAAAAGCCACAGAAAACTGCATTAGCTCACTATGAATACCAATGCCAAAACTGAAAGGAAGTTTTCCACGCTACGATCCATACCTTTTCATGCCCTGACAGCTAGCAGGAAAAGAAACAAACAACACAAATGTGACACTGACAAAAGAAAAAAAGTGAAGTCTATTTAACAGTATAATACATAGAATAAAACATGAACTGAGTGAACTGCAAGATCTTGCTCACAAACCAAGAGACTACACACAATGAATGCAATTAAAAAAAGAAGAGTTATCAGTGGTTAGAGCACACCAGTTCAATTTATTCAGGTTGTGTTAGAGCCATTGATCTTTCCTTTGCTTTGAAGATGCACTGAATTTTGAGAGTGTTGACACGTGAAAGAAAGTCAGAATGGTTGTCAGCATCCTTGGGGGGGAGGGAGGCGGAGGTAGCATGGAGTTCTCAAACCCAAAGTACTTAAGTAAAATCTACTTTTACCAGAGCTCCTAAACCACTGGAGACTGCCCTAGCAAGCCTTGTTTCTGGAAGGACAGCAGGCAGTTTCTTTTGGAAAGGTTGCCTGCATCTGCATTTTTATCTTGGTGGGGCACCACACGATGCCAAAGGCTGGCTTTTGTCATCTGAGCATTAACAGCTCTGTTCTTAGCCCTAGCATACACATGCAGTTAAACAACTGGCAAACTGACAACATGCAAGCTCAGGACTAAGCCTTTCTTCTGTAAAGGCCTGATGCTGTCAGAGGCCAACCAGCCTCTGCCGCTTTTTTTTGCATGTAAGTTGGCAGCACTTGAGGCTTTGCAGGATTTAGCACTAACAAAAGAAATCCAAAGCAAATGAAAAAATGCGCACTGCAATCACTGACTAGTAACCAGACTGACAAAACAGGCATGACAGAGGGTATTTACCATCCAGCTTTTAGGGTAACTGTAATACAACGATGCCTCGGGGGAAAAGAATAAAGAAAGTTGACATGGAAAGCAAATGGTTGATGATAACTGTACTATTGCTTCAGTTACTGCTCTTCTGTAGCAACTTTAGTAATGATCCAGCCCCTGGAACCAAGAAAAATAATAGCTTGTCCAACAATTTGTGTTCAAGTAAAGATCAGATTAATTTTTGGAAGGCTTTCTTGGACAAGTTATTTGGCTCCATACACTTGTAACCAGGTGAAGCTCCATGGCTCAAAACATACAAAAGTCTAGGCATGACAGCAATGCCTTTTTTGACTGCAATGAGGATTATTCCTGCTCTCTGCTACACTGCTTCCTACCTACCCGTTATACAGAGACTTAAAAAAGGTGTTTATATTTCAGGACCACATCCTATTTGGTGGCTGAAGACGTGAGAAAGTTCTGCCCTTATTTCTAACTCTTCTTAAAACAGGCAAATGTTTCCTCTACCCTTAAAAGAAGCATCCAATTTATCCATAACCACCCAGGCTTCAGACAAGCTATGGTCGATTACTAAAAGAAAAGCATTGCATCCAATTTTGATAAGTCTTAAATCTAACTCGAAGTGATTGGATTCGTAATGCTGGAAGAGTCCTTGCTGTCTAAAAATGTCACCAACAACCTGGATGCAGGACTACCTGGAGGTATTCCTTTGCACTTGATCTATCATCAGCTTTTGACATACAACCCTTACCCATCAGATACTGTTGTCAGGATTGTCCTGTAAAGACACGAGGTCAGAGTGGTGGTATAGGCAATGAATATTGCATTGTGTCTCGGTTTACAGTGCATTGTATGCTGTTTAATGATGAGAAGCCAAAGCAAATGCACATATGCTGGTACTACATGCTTTTGGGCTCTGCCTTTTCTATGAAAAAAATGAAAAATATTTGGTTTTTACCTTTATGTACAAAAATCTATTTTTTATACTACAAGGTTCCCAGAAATCTCTCAAGGGGTAAGAATGTTTTGTCTAAAACTATTGAGACCGAGTTAATGTTTCCAAAGACATTTGGAAGCAGATAATGTAGTCCTGCACTTCCTTTCCAGGGAGGCAAGCCAAGACCATCAAGTCAGACACAGTAGTACTAAAACCTTGGTCTACTTGTCAAAACTTAAGCCATAAGGAAAAGCTGGAAGGGATAATTACTCCCTAAGTTTATGGATTCTAGTTCAGCAATTCAGAGCCTTTCCACCTCTAAGGCAGATTAGAGAGACCCAGCAAGAGGCTGCCACCACCAGCACACTACGTGAATGATAACCTGTAAACTCGAGAGGCACAGAAACTTTTAAGCCCATCTTCTGCAAGCAAGAAATACAGACCATAGATGGCTCTGTTGAAGTGCTCATTCACCTCCCTCATCCCTTGGAAAATAGGAGTAAAAAACCCACTTTCTGTCAGAGCCCGTCTGTCTCTTCCACTTCCTCCTGAAATACTCATGATTATGCTGCACCTATTTTACCACCAACTGCTCCATCACCCCTAGAGCCCCATACTAGTTCTTTACAGGTCAACAACCACAGGTTCATGTGTTTATCACTTTTGCTCTCCAGTTGTGTACCCAGGATGAATTATTGCTAAGTGCTGCACATTTCAGTCAGGGAGCTTATGACAGTACTCAAATACCCCATGAATGCAATTAGAGATTGTTGTAAGAGGCTCCAAATGCTAAAATGGGATTAGAGTGAATTTTTATTACAACTGTTTTTATTTTTAAACTAATAAACACTGACAAATTCAGGGATGTGGAAAAGCATGACTTGCTTTTCAGTTATCATGTCAGGCCCCAAACAATTTGCAAAGATGCACAGAACATAACACTTAAAAGATTTAACCAAGAGATATGAACAAAAGAAAAAATTACTGTTGGTGTACCAACATGGTGAAAAGTCATTTATTACCACTGTGCTAAAAGGTCACCTAATACAAATAACCATAAGACATAATGCCTAGATCTGTAAACTACATTATTACCTCTGTTAATGCTTATCCCATTAGTAAGCTGCATATTACACTCAAACCTTTTTTATTTTTTTTAACTAACTGTTCTTCTATCTGAACAAGCATCTGAATTTCCACTGAAAAAGACTGTCTGAGAACAGAGAAGGGGAATACAAAAAGACTATATTTTTACAATAAAATCACATAGAATGTGTGTTACAGAAACTGATATGAATATGGATGGTACTATCTTTGTGTGTTTAGCTTCATATTATTTCTAGTATATACATATTTTATATGCACATTTTGATAATAGATTCTTTTCATAAAAGAAAACAGAATCCATATAAAGACTCTGTGGATATTGAAAATAATAAAAAAATTGAACTAACATTGACTGTTAGGATTTAATTAATCTTCCCTTTAATGTGCTGTAGTCACTGAAGAAAAGGGAAACAGAAAAAAAGATCTGATATTCAGATGTTGGGAACAGAGGGACAAAAAGATTTATTACCCTTACCCGTCTCGACACTGTAGCATTAGACCTTTCTTTGAGTTGAGGATCTGTTGGGAGACTTTTCCAGATGATATAAGGGGTATCATACTTAGCTCTTAGTCTGGGGCATCGTTTGAAGATAAAATCAATAAGGAAAAACTTGATTCCAGCATAGAGTCCTGAAAAAAAGGTCACTTCAGTATGCATGTTGAAGGAGCATTAAGAACATCATTGTTTTGATCATGTTTTAACAAGTTCATGACTGAAACCAAATTCTGTATCTTCAGTCACAGTGCTAAACAATTTCCTTGGTTTTAATATTTTGATTCTTCTTCTAAAGACAGGAAATTATTTTTCTTTTCCTCCCCTGCCCAGATTCCTTCCTCCTCATCCCCAGTTCCTTTAAACCACTTACGTACCTTCTTATTATGCAGAAGAACATTAGAGGAATTCAAACATACATTCCTTTTTACCAGAAGCATTCTGAAAACACGATATACTTCCAAAACAGAAAACATGCCAGAGTATTCAACTCTGCAGCAGCTTGCAAGAATTTAAATGGCAACAGAGGGCTCTCATGTACTACATTAAACTCCATCTTCCAGTCCAGTATGCCCTCCTATCTTATACAAGATATTTCCTGGCATTCTGCCAGATTAAAAAGGGCTTAAAATACTCTCTCAAAACTTTACTGAATGCAATTCAGTTCTTTCCAAGAGTCAGGGTAAAAAATTAATTCCTCAAACATCTAATTCAATTGCTACATCAAGCAAACCTACATTTATGTTCAAGCTAGCACAGCTGGAAGTTCAGTGGAACTAGAACTAATACTCAGTTGATCATATCATTACCTTAATTAAGGAAAAAAAAAAAAAAAAAGAGAATTCTTGGTTCACAGGATGTGGTTTCATAGCTTAGAGAAAAGACAGTCTCGTGCTGTAGCGAAAACCCTCTTTTCCCAATTCTAAGTTGAGAGTTTAAGTATCTGCAATTTCACCCACAGTAATCTGTTCATTTTGTCCAGCCTATCCTCCAAGTTTTACAAAAAGCCCCATTAACTTTTTCATTTTTTTCCAACTGTGTCATCTTCATGCCTTCTATTTGGTCCCACATATTTAATCTGCAAGGACATATGAGCGAAAAAAACCCAAATATTAGACTTCCTGGAAGCTTTACAGCTGACAGTCTGCAGACCTCTGCTCATAGCTCATCATAAACGTACTCTCTTCAAGGAGTACATGCATTGTTCAATCTTTTGCTATGATATCATGTATTCAGAAATGGTTTTTGAAATGCACATGACAAACGATGCCAAGCACAATGAAAATACTTTAAAACACTTCATTATTTATTAATGCAGGGTTTTCTTTCCTAAACTCTAAAATTCTCCCTCTAAAGATCATGTTAAGTTTTAATGCATTAAATCTAGACTGTAGCAGGTCAATTATTTATTGTGTTTACCCATTGCAAGCCCAATAATCCTGTAGGGCAAAAAGCAGGATGCAATAAAAGCTGCCCAGAGAGCAAAGTAGAGCTTCTGCGTTATTTCTGGCTGAACCCACATGAACAAGCTGAAAGCAAAAAAGAAACAGAATTTTATTACTAGCGTTCCAGACACTGGTCAAGTCTTGTTTTAAGAGGAAAAAAAGATTCATGCCAGATAACTTACTTTTTAATTTTTTCCAGTATGTCTGCCATCTTGCCAAAAAGGTTCTGCGTAAGAAGCAAGAGAATTAAAACCAAGTCCTGCATTATTTTGGGGTTTTTGTCCACATAACAGAAACCAACCGAGTTATCTTACTTTGCTGGTAATAGACAATTCCCAGAAGTCCTTTTTTTTTTAACTCATTTTTAGCCATTTATGTACTTCACAATTGAGTAAATACAGAACAGAATAGCAATAATCGATGACTTCCATCTCAATTTAACACCTTGTTCTGTAACTCATTGATTATTAGAAGTGAAGAAGCTATTTGACTCCACTGTCACAACTGTAAAGTGCTTAATCACTGCAAATATTTTAAATTGAGCTGTCAATCTAAGAGTGAAGAGCTTCTGTCAGTAGGTAACAAAATGGGAAGTTTCCTTGCACATTTTGAGTACTGAAATCTCAGGAAGCGGTTACTGAGTTCATCAAATGTTGGCCTCTCAGCTTCTTTAGAAACACATCACCACCAGGTGTTTATGATACACCCTTTGAGTTACTAGATTCCACATAATTCCAACAACTGTTGATGCAAACAGACACCTGCTCAGGACTGAGAGGGTTATTCAGCCATCTCCTCTAACCAACTCTTGCTGTCACAGCACCTGTAAACTTCTTCTTCCCAATACATTTCCAGAGGTATTCCTATAAACATATGAACCACCACCAGCAAAAGAAAGGAGACAAGCGTACACAGTTGGCAAGGGAAAGGTAAGCTGCTTCCAGCAGTGACACATCTTTAGACATGGCACAAGGCTGCAGTTCAGCTGGATGGTGGAGTCACTCAGCTGCTAGGGTAGCTCATCAAACTGATGGAGCTGGGAGAAAACCCACTCTCACCCACTCCCACACAAGCAGCAGATTTCAGGTTTGTGAGGAGTGGTGGTGTTTAAAACAGACTATTTCAGAGATGCTGTGCAAACTGTTGAATTAACACAGCTAAACAGACAGCTGAAGGAATAGGGTCTCTTGTACCAGTTTTGCAACTGGGATTTGGGATGTACTCCAGTACATTGGTAAGATTCACCACCTGATCGACATTATCAGTAGCTCACATTAATATTTTAAGGGAAAAACTGTCAGAAGCTGCTTCTGCTCCCCTTCAGACCTTGATCAGAGCTGTGACTGGAGAACCTCGACCAGTTCTCTGAAGCATCATGCCATTACAGAAGCTCCAAGCATTTTATTGAGATCTCTATTGCTCATAAGTAAAGAACCCTATGCAAAGCAAGTATTATTTGTTTAAGTGTTTGTTTTTACATGCTGCATAATAAAGTACTTTGACCACTTGGACTATGAACCTCCATATTCTAAGGAAGCAGACGGAGAGGTCCAAGAGCAGCACAGTACCTGCGCCTTCTGAGCCACATCTAGAACAAGCTGAAACTTTTCAGACACCGTCAGGTCCTCTTTTGGGGGTTCCTAGGGCAAGAAAGAGATAATCCATTAATTTTCAGCTCGGCTAAAACTGATATTTTACAAAACTCCTCACGAGAACATGACCCCTCGACAGTCTTGGCAATAGTCCCCTCACTTTAAACAGTCTTAAATTTGCCAAGTTCCTCCCTTGTTTCAGATCTCCTGCTTACATCTTTCACTGCTGGTTGTCTTTAGTTATGAATGCTCTTCCTCCATGGTATATGCAAACACAGTAATAGGAGGCTTTGAAAGACACAGTACGTCTGTGGAGGAGCATCATTACAATGGCTTTCAGTCCACAATAAAATCATCCTGGAAGCAAGGCCTCACTAAGTCTTGGCAAAAGGTTTCAAATTCAAAGAACTCCATTTCGCAGTAATACTTACAATACTTCCTGCTTAAAGGAGGGTATGCAAATATTTATTTCAAAAACGATACAGAGAAAACAGAATACAAGGCTTCTGGAAGATCTCACAAGACCTAACTTGTCCCAAGCTGGCAAATTAACATTTATTCCAGAAACGTCATTCAAGTTCGGGATATTTTATGGTGAAACACCCAAACTCAGTGCTGTAAGTGAAGATTTCTAAATTTAAAGAGAAAGAAAAAAGCTATAGTGTCTTTCTTTGCACCTCACTTTTCCTTCCTTTTACAGCTACCCACGGAAACACAGAGGAAGGTTTTGAAGGTGCAACTTTTAACAAAGGTATACAGGTCAAACTGATCAAAGACCTACCACGGGTTCAGAAACTTCAGGCACAATGCTCCACTGTATTCTCCAACCCCTAGAAGTTATGGAAACAGTTAAAGAGAGCAAGTACTTCTTCTCCACCTGCCAACATGGATTATTTGTAAGAGGTTAAAAAGTAGTTTTCTGCAACTGCACTTATGGCTTAAAGAAAAAATAATCCCCAAACCAACAAAGAACCTACAAAATAACATAAGCACAAGTGGCCAACCACAGACAGCATCAAAGTTTTATACATTTTTAAAAAAATATATATTAGCTAGGTAGATACTACACAGAACCACTGCTTGTGGGTTTTAGCACAAAAGTGAATCATGTGCATAGAGTAAATAATTCAGAATATTTTTGCTTCTTCTTTATGTGAACAAAATTATATCAACCTATTCTGGACCCTGTTTGCTACCAGTAATTTTTAAATAGAGTGTCACATATAAGTATTAATTAAGAAATCAGAAAATAATTTTAAAATATGCACATTAAGATTTCCCCCCCACCATTTTAAGCGTTTTAAGGGGGAAAACACCATCAACTAAAATAGCATTTTTAAAAAGATCCTCTCAACACAGAAAATGTATTTTAAAAAAAATTTTAAAAGTCAGTCTTAATTTTCAATAGTGACGGAATATACAAATGGAAGATACTTTGGATAAAGTACGCCAAGGGCCACTGAAAAGGCAAAACTGCAATTTTATGGCCTAGGTGAAAATCCTCTCCAGGGAAAAGCATCAGGGTTCAATATTTAAGGTATGTTCTCCAACTACTCTGAATACTGCAGAATGTGTTTATTTTGGAATTTTAAAGTGGTGTGGGATTTATCTGAGAACATGCAGCATCATTTATGATATCCCAAGTCACAGAAAAATTAAGATAATTCTTCAGAATAGTCAACGAACTTAAGGACATCAGAATTTGAAATTCATTTTGTTAACCTTTACTCTCAACATTAGAAAAGGTAACAGTTTACAAATTAGTGCAAGAATAATAAAAGATCTTTCAAGCAAAGCATTACAAAAGAATAATCTAGTATTTAAATAAATACCTGGCTATGAGGTAATTTAGGGACAACCTCAAAATTGCTAAAAATAAGAACATAGGAATGGCCCAGCCATGCCATACAGCATTCATGTAAATCTGCAGATTAAGAAAGAAAAAAAAAATTAAAAAAAGAAAGAAGAGAGATCTAGATTACAAACTGGGGTACAGTGAGTTGCACGACCGTTTGCACGGTACTGTTGGGTTCAGAATCACACAACTCAGATCACAAAAGTTAACAAATTTTAGACACCCTATGACAGCCAATAGCACTGCATTCATGAATGCAAAGTCAAAACTATAAGACTGAACTAAATCTCCAGATATTACATTTAAATAGTGCTCAGGTGCTTCAGAGAATGATATTTCCAACACTGCAATTACATGACGGTCGAGAAAAAAAACCAGCAAAACTTAAAAGTCTGTGAATCTGCTACCTGACCATTACACAATCTGACCTCACCTAGATCAGTTGAAGCAATGGTATAGCAGAAGAGATATAACCATCAGCCCCTTACAGGGCAATGGGATAAACTCTCGCTGTATTATTTCATGTCAACTAAATCCCATATTTTTATTTTACAAAGCTTAAAAAGACTGCAGGAAAACATGTCTTATTTTACCTAACAATACACACACAAAGTGCTTCAAAAGATATTTCATCCCCTTCCCAGCCTCTGAAAATACAGAGACTACAGCTTCCTTGCTGAGAAACATTGGGCTTTTTATGGACAACCCCAAAATGAAGCATTGTTCCAGCTCCAAGGTCCCAGAACTTTTTCCAGCAACAGATGAAGTTCCTTCTTTCAGCTTTTATCTCAAGAATAGGTTTGTCAGGAGAAGTGAGAGAAAAATCAGTAGATGAGGAGAAGGGACAGATACAGGGCACTGGGAGGGGGAATTCTCCTCAACACTCCTTCAGCTGTGCTGTGCAAAGTAGCATTAAATAAGGCCCTACAACTTACAGAGAGGGACTACTTAATTAAAAGGTGTGCGACATTCATAGAATGGTTTGGGTTAGAAAGGACCTTAAACATCATTTAGTTCCAACCCCCCTGCCATGGGCAGGGACACCCTCCACTAGCCCAGGTTGCTCAAAGGCCTTGAACACCTCCAGGGATGGGGCATCCACAGCTTCCCTGGGCAGCCTGTTCCATTGTCTCACCACCCTCACAGTGAAAAATTTCTTCCTAATGTCTAGTCTAAATCTACCCTCTTTCAGCTTATACCCATTACCCCTTGTCCTCTCACTGCACTCCCTGATAAAGAGTGCCTCCCCATCTCTCCTGTAGCCCCCCTTCAGGTACTGGAAGGCTGCTATTAAGTCTCCTCGGAGCCTTCTCTTCTCCAGGCTGAGCAACCCCAACTCTCTCAGGCTGTCTTGATAGGAGACATTTCACCAAACAGGTTAATTCAGCTACAACTACTGGTAATAATTTCCTTTGATATCAAAATATTTCATATACACCACAACTAAAATAATTTAGATAATTTCATTAACAATTAAAAGGAAAACAAACCAAAACTCCACTAAATAGTTATGTCACTTTGTGGCATACAAGCCTCCTTACATAGCATGGGAATGCTTGAATTCAGCTTACAGACCTGATGTTTGCACATTAAACAAGACTCAAATCAAGACATTTTGTCTCTCATCAGTAAGTATGATCCTACCGAATGGCAAAGAGCACTGATGGTGAACAAAAGCTTCTTACCTAACACAGTTGCTACTAGCATTCAAGCCCTACACAAGAGATTTTGCAGAGGCTGAAGTAACCATCAAATTACAGGACACGAAACGAGAAATGAGAGAAAAATACCCAGATAGTTTTAAGTTATTTTAACAGTTAGGAAACTATGCTACAATAAACCCAAAATATAAAATTCAAGTGACTCAAAAATATAATTGAAGTGACAACTACTGGTATTTTGAGTTAAATAAAATTACACTATTTGATTTGACTTAAAACTGTAGCGTAACTCCTACTCAGATATGGCAGTTTCAATGAAATTCAGTAAATAATACATTTTTAAAAGTTCTTACTACTCCTGGAGGAATAGGTTAACTTACAATAAAGGCAATAGCAGAAGTGTAGATAGAATACCAGTCTGATAAGGCAGAAAGATTCTTCACAAAATTAGTAACAGGTTTGGCACCTCTCTCTAAACAGAACCAGAGAACAAAGACAAGTGTTAGAATTAGCTGGCAGTGGTTAAACCACTTGTAAATGACAAACAACCAAATTAGAAAATTAATATCAATATTCAAGACATGTAAAGATTAAAAAGGTTTATCCAAATTAAGAATATGAAACCCATCAACATAATTGAACAACTAGTTAAGCAATTCATTTCCCAAACCTGAAGTGCTATTCAAGACAAAGGTCATGTCTAAGCTCTGAAGTACTGACAAGGATCATCAGTGCCCTCTACAAGGGTACCCTGGATCCTGACAGCCGTCTGTTTTGAGCCCTGTTCATAGTACCTTGAAGACCTCTGCACAGGTCAGTTCATCCCACTGTAAAACAAGGTAAATCAGCCTGACTGGACTCTAAGCCACCAAGGCACAACTTGCTGCTACCTGACCAAGCTAGCTTAAAATAGGCTAGACTCCATCCACTTTGCTGCTTACTCTTCCTAAGCCAAGAGATACAGGACCTCACTGCCTGAAGAAGTCTGTCTCCCACTTCTGCAGACTTTTGCTCCCTCTGTGACTGCATGGGAGACATGTCACTCCCCCACACAGATGCACACAGCCAGACAGAGACAGCACGAGGAGCTCTTCCTTCAGCTCCCTAAAAAACACTTGTCCTTTACCTTTCCTTTTCCTCCAAGCTCTTTCACTACTTCGGGCAAACTAGGTAGGGGACACAAGAACACAAGAGAGGGCTGCTGCAAGACCACCTTTGTTTTCTTTGCTGGAACACACTGGCTTTGCCTTCGCTACTAAGAAGACTGAAGACTGGCCTTGCATAGGGGGCCCCAGGAATACCCACCCTCGTTTGCAGTACAGTTCACAACTTTGAAAGCTTTCCTCAAGACAGCCTGTGACCTGCTGTCCTAGTTTGTTTGGCTTGAAATTCAGCCATTTCAGCTATCCTTGATACAGCCCCTATGGGAAGTAATTAAACAACTAGGACTAGATTTCATTGAGCATCAGTGGTACAACCAAAGCTGAAGATGAAGCAAGTGGAAGGGCATGCTTGAGGCACTGGAGGAGGTCATGGACCCAAGCGCTGCTTCACCACCCTACACCAAACCTGCAGGGAAGGTCAACACCTGGAAACCGCTGGTGACAAAGGGGTTTGAGAACAACCAAGGGTTTTGAGAGCTCTGGGTGGTTGTCAGGCACCCGTGGAGAACACAGATCTAGACTTCGTGGCTCATCTAGTGGAAGTTAAGAACCACGCAAAGCTTAAGCTTAACACTGCTTTTTTAAAAGCTGTTCTGAAGGCAATGCACTTCCACCACAGAGAATGGGTTCCAAGTATTCTCCCAAATGAAACTAGTATGAATATCAGTATTAGAATAAGGAGAACAAAACTGACCTTACATGGAAATTACAGACCTTTATTTCAACTTCACCTTCCCCCCTACAATACTTTAACAATTTGGATCATAAATCAGACTTTTTTTTTTTCAGGCTCGCAATTTTTTGCTGCACAGAACTTTTGGAAGGCTTAATTACTTCGTTTAACACGTCATCTTGCATCCTCCACCTCCTAAAATAATTTATCAGCTCTCCAAGGGAAATAAATGAAAGACACACTCGAGGTATGCATTGTTCAACCTCTCCTCCTTTGAAAGCATATGCTAATTAGACTAGTGAGCAAACTACAAGCAGCTCAGTAGCATACGTAGTAGTTACTACAAGCTTATGAACACTATTACTTTTGCCATTGGACAAATACCCTGTTCTCATTCACTACATGTTTATACATTTTAACTAACATTAAATTTTTAGTTCAGAGATACCCTACGCAATTCAAGATTAAAGGCAAGCTCCTACCACTGCTCCTCTAAGTTACTTTGCACTCCAAACGCTAATTCAGATTTCAGAATCATTTCTGCTTATGAACTGGCAGAAGTGTTTCAAAACACTGTATTTTAAAATGCAGTAATCCTCCCAATAGGGTTACTAAGAACTGTTTTTACTTCCAGAAAATAAAATACTGCCAGGTACTTACTTAATCTTCTCATATTTTCAGTCAACCTGAAAAATAATGGATAAAACCAAGCTGTTAGATAGGCAAGTAGTGCACAGTTGTGTACATTTGGTCCCTGAAATACTGATCAGAGTTATAAAATAGATGTTTGTGCAGAAAGCTTCATTGTCGCCTGTTATGAAATGCATTTTCAGTAACTTATACAGCCTATCTTGCATCAGACCAAAAATTGAAATGTAAGAGCTCTCCAGCCCAACTAAGAATCTGTCCACAGTTTTCAAGAGGCATATAATGGTACCTGGTAAATAATATAACTCTTATCTGCTGTCCGAGATAGAATAAAAGTTTAAATGTCATGTTTTGGTCAAAGCATTCACAAACATTTTGAGATGGTTCTGTACTTTCAGTTTTATTACTTGTTATGCAAACACTTGTTCAAATCATGTAAAAGGTTGTAAAGAAAAAAAAGATTAAAAAAGCAACTTGTAAAGAAACCAACAATTTCTCACAATCACATTTGAGATTTACCTTCTAGCACTAAGTGGCTCTTCTGTTTCCACTGTATTCTCTTCTGGCTGAAATCTGAAGTCCTCAACATATTCCCCAAATTTGTCACAAAACCACTTCTGGAGTCTTGAACAGACTGTGTGACTACGCTTATCTACAAAAAAAGAAGCACTAAGTATCAGGATAATACTAGAAGACATCTTCATATAAAGCCTGCCCCTGTTCCCGCACGCCATGCTTCATTAGGAAGGAGACTTTGTACAGCTTTCCTGTCCTTCACCAATACTCTTCACGGAAACTCACTATGTAACTTACTTCTGCTGTTGCACAGAAAGCCTGAGCACAATAAGCTGGTAAAATAAGACTAAAGGTGACTTCTGCTTTGCTCTAAGTACAGCATGTGCAAGCGTCTTATTACCAGAAGTACAGAGATCAAAACAGGAATTTTTAGCAAACATTGGAAAAACATTTAAGAGGCTCCTGTAAACAAAAAGACTGTAATAAATCTCAGCGCTCCTATTATGCTGAAGGGTCACCTTGAGAAAAGCAAGTATAAAGCAAAACACTCCTGAGCAGAGAGTGGGACAACCACCTTGCAGCCACACGAAATTTGACGGGAAAAGGAGGTGGAAACTTGAGCAAGATTCTGCAAGAGGCATTTTTACTACCACTTTCCAAATATTTATAGGCTGTAAAGATATTCTGTGTGTGTGTGTGTATATATAACACGCATTTTTTTTTTTCTAAAGCCAGGCTACAGAAATTATGCTGTACATGGCACTTTCTATACCTGGAATATACAGTCATAATACTGCCTGGAAAGTCATATATGGCAAAGTAATGAAGCACTGTTCCCTTCCTGTATGTCAGTTTCAGTGGAAAAATATAAATATATGGGTATATGGAAATAATATAAGGATAAAAGCCTTAAGGTAGCCCAAATGAGAATAAAAGAATCACCTTTTGCTTTACTTGTAACTCAGAAAAATCAGTGTCTAGAAGGAATAAACAGACTATTCTTTGGAAAGGTAGGTCAACACAGCAATATCACAAAGAAGACACTGGTCACAATTATTCCAGGACCAAACTTAGTACAGAACTCCATAAAATTAAGATATGTTTAAACAGAGGCATGAAAGATTAATCAGCCAACTACAACAGCCAAAATGGTGCTTTTAAGCACGTGAGAAAAAGCAAACAGTGGGTGCTCAGAAAATAGAAACAAACTATTTATTAATTAATTGCAGCAATATCTTGAAAAACAAGGAATTAACTGACAGTTCACAGCTGGGACAACACTTCCATTTGAAAGCTGGGACAACACTTCCATTTGAAAGTAAAAAAAAAAAAAATGAAGTAGCTTCCCACATGCTAATACTTCCGATAGTACTGAGAAAGAAACTTTGGGTGTACAAGACAGAAAAAAAAATGGCAGTTTGTAGTTCACGTAACAGAAACTATTGACATCATGAGAGTACAGGAGTAGCAACTTCAAATTTAATCTGCAGATTTAAAAGCCTAAATCTCAATCAAGAGGTGTGGGGAGGAAAGTGTAAGTGAACTGAAAGACTGAGAATCTGCCTGTTGCCTTTGTTCTTTCAGAAATCACTACATAATTTAATTCATAATAAACAGCAGCTTGAGAAATGCAGACAATGGTGTAGGTGTCCAAAAAGTCACCAACTCTTAAGCTTATTCCTTCTCCAGAATGTCTTTCCTTTTAGAAAAAGGAAGTAATACAGTTAATGACAAAAAGAGCTTTTGCAGTTGAGAACAAAATAGAACATATTTTCTATGTATTACACCTCTTTTCTGGTAAATCAAGGATCAGCAAGGCATGAAAGAATGATACAGTCAGGCAACAGGTTTCATTACATTCCTAAAAGCTTTACAATACACAATAAATTTCTTGCTCAGGTGTGCAAAGTCAACTACAACGAGTAAATGCAGAATCATGTTCAGAGAGGTAAGAAGCTGTTCAAATGGTCTTTCACATTTGGCTTCTTCAGAAGCCTGCTTAAGAACTGAGCAAGATTTTCAGCAAGGTTTGATCTTAAGGATCAAAGGAAAGCAGTGAAAAAAATCCAACCGAATCAAACTGCTAGTGGAGATCTGACCAAGATTACCTGTTCCATTGGCTTGCGCCTGTGGCTTTGCAGGTTGCTGAGCTGCAGGCACCTCTTCCGTCCTACAAAGAAAATGGAAACAACGTGAAATGCTACAGGTGAAGACTTTTTTCCCTTTTAGGTAAAGGGAGCACCAGTACCCCCACAGTTGTCATAGCTGAGAGAACACAAGCTGACAAGGAAAAAAAAATAAACTTAATGCCCTTCTGCAAGATGCACAATATTAATTGCACATTGCACCTAGGATCCAGGGAAATACCATCCTCTGGAAAGAGAGGTGTGGTTTAGCCATTTCCTGTCACCCACAGCTCAATTTCATCTTACAACTACTAAATAATTTAGTATCAACTTTCTTGCATAACTTATGCCTTTGTGTGGTATATTCCTTACAATGCCTGCCAGGAAAAGTCTTCAGAGCCCCGACTATTCCCACAGCAATAAATGAAAAGGGATTCTGTATCGCAAGCTGATAACCACAAGACTAGAACAAAACCACAGTTTAATGCATAAACCTTGAATTCTGCCATCATTACTAGAGTCAAACACCACTCACCTTCATAATGAAAGGAACAGGTGTCAAGAATTATTTAAAATGTGATATTGTAAGCTCTTGAAATGCACAGATACCCACCCATTTTAAAAATATCTTTTAAAAAAACTTGCAGAATTTAAATAATTATATGAAAAACTGAGACAAAGATGCTCTAAAAATATATGTCAAGCAGCAGGCATCATTGGTCTCATCTTTCAAAACGAGTCAAGAATAATATTCTCACACATTAAAAGTGTGCCATTCTGTACACGTGCAAGACTTCAGATTACATTTGCACTGTCCACAGCCTCCAACTCCCAACCTGTCTTCAGGCTTCAGTCCAAAAGTCTTTAGCCATCCATGTAGATATCCTACAGAATCTCTAATGAAGCAGCAGCTTTGACAACATAACACCAGCTGCTGCAAGTTTTACTTTACGGGGAGTTGTATGATTGAAAAGATTACTGCTTGAAACAAAAACATGTTGGTCGTGCAATCTCATTATCACTCATTTATCAGATAAATATAGGTGCTTTCAAATGTTCTCTTCACCCTCAGGAAGGGAACTAAGTGGGACGCTGATTAGCAAATAGCAGTAAGAGGGAACCCACTGTACTGGGCAGATTGCAGCACTATAGATGGATATAGAGTTCTCTCTTGCTGTTTCTCTAGAAAGTACATTAGAGAAAAATCTCGCTGTACTGTCTGCACACAGAAAAGGCTATTACGAATTTGTGTAGTCTGAACAAGCATGATGGAGAACCCACAGAACTAATTACTTCCCTTTCTTCCTAACCACTCCCCGCGGTTAATGAGCTTTCCACACCCTCATTCGTTTGTAAAAAGGACATTTAGAAATAACTTATTGATTTAAAATTATTACTGGACATCTATCAGTGTGCAGTACCTGCATTCAATGGTTTCTGCTTTCAAAGCCACTTGTTTACATGCCTCTTCAGGACTTTTCCACAGGGCTTCTCTATTTGCACCAACTCTTCTTTTCAAAGGCACCTGAAATTCCCCAGTTAATTTTTTCTAGCTAAACTTTAACTTTTGTTTCTGTACTATTTTTTCTCAGATTCTATACAAAGCACAGGTTCCCCACCTAAAAACTCCTCTCCTTACTCTCTCCCCCACACCCTTGCATCCCCTCTATTTCCAGCTCTGTCTCTCTAAAGACAGAGAACAATTAATGTGATCCAATTTGCACAATTATATAGCAGTGTCTTGTTTTTCTCTATCAGCACATCAGATGGTTACACCATATAGGTGGGCATTTTCACCCGCAATCTGTCACTGCCACTGTGTTTCAATGAAGCTGAAGACACATGCTGGAAGAAGGGACATAGTCATTCACAGGCGGATTCGCACAGGCAGGAGCCAGTTACTCAACCTGCTCCAGTCACGCGAAGGCACTGGGGGGGGCTGTCACAGCTGAACGGCTCCAGTGACCACAGAGCCGAGATGGGATCCCACCACCACCAACCGTCAGAGCATTCAGGATGGGTCTTCCTTTGACATGCTGGGATATATTTTCAGAAGCAGCACAGCATCATTACTCTCCATCTTTCTTGGGAAAAAATCCAAAAAAATCTCATCAAGAAGTAGTTCTGGATAGCAGCCTCACCAGTCTCCACCAGAAGCACATGATGGTTTGGCTTTGGCCCTTCTTGGTGCTTTTCTGTTTCACTTTTTTGGCAACATCTTACTCGCCATCTGCCTGTTATTCCTTCCTCGTGAAGAACCTGACTTTTACGAATCATCAGATTAATGACAGCTCACTACTGCACCTGTGAATCAGGTTATAATTAGCTGCTCCAGACAGATTTGGGCCAAGAAGCTCAGAATTCATTGTTTAGGCCTGCACACCCACTGGGAAGCTCAATCCCAAAATCAGGTCATGTTGAACCAGACACTACATCAAGACCACTGACAGAAGGGAGGAATTATCTTTCCTGCAGCTTCTGAACCACTCTTCATGCCAGAGATCAGTTTAAAGGCTGGAAAACATAAAAGGTCCCCAGAACAACGCAAAAGGCTGTGTTTCTATGCGGGCTTCCTAACTGCCGCACGTACCAAATAATTCCTTTGGGAGCACACTTTCTACCCAGAAAAGCATGTGACAGATCCTCAACTTGAGGCTAGGTTGTGTTTACGCAGCTAGAGATTGCACCCATTTAAAAGCACAGGTTGATTAAAACAGATAAGAGCAACTACAGCCAACGGAGAAAACAAAGACAAATGTGCCAATTTGGTTTTTTTTTATTTTTTTTAATATATACTGAAGACAGGGAAGCATAACTGTCACAGCTCTTCCCGACTCACAGATGTGTAGCATTCAGAAATCACCAGCACACACTGATGCAGCATCCACTCGATGTGCTCCACAGAATAGCACCGAAGGATTATTTGTGTAGCTGCAAGCATGACACAAAAGTTAAAGGAGCCTTGACACTGAAGGTCATTTGCCTTTAACGAAACATTTTGGTTTTGTGCATCTTTGACCTTGAACGTTGCAAGTTGAGGCATGTGTGAATCAACACAGTCTTCCCAACAACTGTGTGAAGACCAGACTCGCCGCACACAACAGGTCCATTCGCTGCCGGGATGTTCTCAGACATATTAAAAGCAATTTTCCTACAGGCTGACTCTGAGTACTGAGTTCACAAGCAACCCATCATCATCCTTTTGACAGCTGTTGTGGAAGCCAGTCAAGGCTGTTATATATTTCTTACTGCTCCAAGCAACATGACTGTGTATGCACTTCCATCAAAAGCGGCTTACAACCTCAGAAATGCAAAACTAAGCACAAAGGAGGTATTTTCACAACCTGGTTAAAAGACTAACCATTCACATATACATGGCTTCGTAGCCTGAGGAGCTGTCACTAAACTGAGTTAAAATATTTTCATACGTTTTGCATCTCCTCCTCATTAAAATACACCAAACATTTCTGAAGCCTTTATCCTCCTCACCAGATACTCCCACATTCTACATCGCTAGCATCCTAAACTGGTAGTTTCATAAACAAATGAAAAGGTTTCAGAAGAAATATCATCAACCCAAAGTTGTACAAGATCTAAATGTTCATGGGCAGAAAATAAAAAAATTAAAAATAAGCTCTTCACAGGAACTACTTTACAAGCAGCAGCCTGTCACCAAATCTACTAAGTTAAAACTAAAGGCATTCAGGAAATTCAGCCAGCTGGATACGGCAGCAATCCCAGCACGGAACGGCAGCTGGGTGAGAAACTTTTGACCCAGGTCTCAGGTCCTTGCTACCTGTGTGGAGTCCTGAGTCCTGTCTATTTTATATATATTGTATATAAGAGTATGCTATTATAAAGCACTGTCTATTTTCTTCTCTTAAAAATAGCTCACAATGATACTAATAAAAAGGTTTGCATAAGCCACAGCTTGTTAGTAGGTTTTGCTGCAAAGTTTCTTTTTTTTATTTTTTCCACCCACTGTGTGGTAGACCTAGCTCACAATTTGTAAAATAAGCCAGCAACAGGCCCACAAGTTACACTAAACAAGCATTGCTCACAAAGACTATTCCAAATTGTTTATGCATGTTCCACTAGCAAAATGTCATAAGCTTCAGCTGTTGTACCAAATGCTGGGCTGACCCGAAGCGCATTTATGGAAAACTTCAGCTGAGGCCACCATGTTTCTGAATACTCTGATATATAATGAGCACCATGACAAACAAAACCACTAAACATCCCCTTCTTCCACTCCTCCCACCAAACAATTCAGTGAAAAAAGCCCATGTTCTTCACTAAAAATAAAATAAAATAAAATAAAATCTACATTGTTAGCTCACGGTTTTCTCCTTTCTGAACACTTTGCAACATGTATTTATATAGCTACATGTATTGATCTGCTTCACAAATACTTTTGACTATTGCAACTATTAAAATACTTTCCTCCTTCTTACACCAGAGCATGGTTTGTTTTTCATTAGTTCACTTCTGTAACTAAAAAGAAGAACATGCGAACATGTTTATAAGCATCTATTTAAAGACTGTATGAAAAACTACCTAACTGAGAAGCAGGGTGAATTTCGTTTTGTTGACATAAGCAGAGATGACTTTCTGTGGTTGCTTTGCTTAATAAAATCAAGTTTCCATCAGGCATAAATTTGGCCTATTACATATTTGATTGTGTCAGCCAACACTTTGCCTGTAGTCCTAATAAAAGTATTTTTAAATGTGTACAGAGAAGTGAAGAAAGACAAAAAGCAGTGAAGAATTTCACACAATGGAACACAAGGAAAAACCACAGGCAATTTGATTTTTTTCTTCTTCTGGAAATTAGTGAAGAATTTCACACAATGGAACACAAGTTAAGGAAAAACCACAGGCAATCTGATTTTTTTCTTCTTCTGGAAATCTTTCAGTGTCTTATTTTGTTGTCATCTTACATATGCCTGCCTGCCACAAAAAGGTTGGAATATAGCAAGACCAGTTAGAAAAATAACTCGAGTAAAGGGGATAATTGGCTGAACATATTGTTGTCATCTTACATATGCCTGCCTGCCACAAAAAGGTTGGAATATAGCAAGACCAGTTAGAAAAAAAACTCGAACTGAACATAATCACCACGTGTAATACCCAAGCTAACAGGGCTAGCCTAATCCTTCAGATATCTAAATGGGAATACTGCACTGAGGCGGACAAGTCCTCCTACCTTAATTTGGCAATCGTACACCTGATAAGAGATTTGCTGTTGTCCACAATCCAACAAGGCACAGATATTGACACTAATATTGATAAACAAAGAACTCCCAACTCTTCTCTCTGTAAAACACAGGTACTCACAAGCTGCAGTGGGCCATAACAGACCCTGGGCCATCCTTATTGCTCTGGAATAGGGCAGGATGATGGGTACTCTCCTGCAGGGGAAGATGGCTCCTCATCCTTCTCCAGGACTTCCATCAATGATGGGATCAGTCTCCCATGGGCACATGATCTAGAGCCCAGGCATACCTGCTCTTGGGAGAAAGCCTGCAGGCCTATGCCAGCGCTAAAGACAAGCATGTTGGATTTGCATCTCAACCAACTCCGATGAGATCACCATTCTATGATTCCATGATTCTAACTTCTTCAAGGGAACAAGTCAAGTAGTAAGAAAGTATCCTGAAGCACCAGTTTTATCTACCAATAGCAGAAAACAATACTCATTGCTTTGTACCGCTGCTATCGAGCTAACAGATACTCTCAGCATGGAGACGGGTCCAAGTTTGTCCTCTTCCAACGTCCCCAGCAGCCCACGTAACGAGGCAACATGGATCTAGACACAAAATGGAAGCTATATGTCCAAACAGCCAGGCCAACCATAAGCAATAAAAATGCACTCCCACTTCCCAGCTGTAAGAACAACTGTAAAAACATCACAGAAAAAAATAACTAGAGCAGAGCCATCCCGATCACCTTCCCAGTGCATGGTCATGGGGCTGGCTTGGGAACAGGACTCCTCCTCACAGAGCTTCTTCCAAGGGTGCAGCTTGGCAGCTCAGGTCAAGACTGCACATGCACCGACCTTGCATGGAACCAGTGATTTTGGAAAACCATCAGTGCAAAACATCTGCCAAAAAACCCCACTGCATTGGATACTGAGGATAACAGGGAAGGCCCCATTTATCTTCTCTATAAAGCCTTGGTGAACCCACACTTTGAATACTGCATGAACTCAGCCTCTTCGTTATAAGACACAAGAGTTAAAGAATGGCAACTGAATTGATGAAAAGGACGAAGTACTCTTAAGGAGATACTGGAAAAGCTGGAACTCTTCCGTCTGGGGAGGAGAAGATTAAGAGTGGAAAGGACTGACCAAGGGGAGTAAATAGGCTGAATGCCGAACAGTTATTCACCGAATCTCACAATTCTGTAACTATGGGACACTTCTTGAAACCACTAAGAAATCTGTTAAAAAGGAAAGAAAATAAATTGCTTCTTTAGAGTCAAGAGTGGACTTCTGTAACATACTGCCTCCACAGCTTCCAGTGGTAGATAGCTCCTGCACTTTCAAGAGGGGGTTAAATAAATTCATCAGTAACAGGTCTGCAAACAGATACTGAAGTGAAAAGGCAGCAATGTACCTTCTGATACCATTAAATACAGTGTTTGCGGATGCTTATAAGGGGTGGCTGAGGGAACCGCAGTTGTTCGGCCTGGAAAAGAAGGAGGCCGAGGGGAGACTTTATCACCGTCTACAACTACCTGTAAGGAGGTTGTAGCAAGGCCGGTGTCTATCTCTTCTCCCAAGTAACAAGTGATAGGATCAGAGGAAACAGCCTCAAGTTGTGCCAGGGGAGGTTTAGACTGGGTATTAGGAAAAATTTCTTCACCAGAAAGGCTATCAAGCATTGGAACAGGCTGCCCAGGGAAGTGGTTGAGTGACCATCCCTGGAGGTATGTAAAAGATGTGTAGACGTGATGCTTAGGGACATGGTTTAGTGGTGGACTTGGCAGTGCTCGGTTTAGTGGTGGACTTGATCTTAAAGGTCTTTTCCAATGTAAATGATTTGATGATTCTATAGGAGTAGGAGCTAAACAGACCACAGAAAGCAGGCAGGCTCACATGCCTCCTACAAGTGGCTCCTATTTCCGTTGCTACAGAATACCAGCAGACGCAGACTTCTGGCCTGACCAGAAAGGCATTTTTACACTCAGGACGAGTACTGAAGGAAGTGACAGGCTGGGAAGAGTTTTCATTGTATTGGGAAACCTCATATCCAAGCAAAAAGTTTTGCCTGCTTGTTCTTGCTTGTCAGCAACTGGCATTGTTTACTGCATGTGATTACCAACTTAGCCTGCGCTGTCTCCTGATGACAGTAGTCGATGATGAACCACAGATCCTACCACTCAGTCAAGTAACCTTAGCTACTGCTGAGGAAGGTAGCATAGGCAGTGATGTATGAAAGTGGTGTAGACCAACAAAGCCACCAAGCAGCTCCTATGGTTTAAAGATCTGAAGTCCATGCATCTGGGCAGACTAAGAAGAGACAGCATCAAATGTGATGCTTTGCATCATCAAGCTGGGTGCCCTCAAGGCTGAAAGGACTTAGGGATATAGGGAGGCACGTTTCCATTTGTCATTGCAGTGGCAAGGAAGGCTCAAACTCCAGTGACTCCCACACTTTTAGCATTGTGCTGTGGTACAGGAGTAACAAGGACTGGGCAGTCTGGAGATGACAGGTTTTGAAGAGGCAAAGCATATGCAATGGCATGTCAAAGGCTGCGTCATTCAGTAGCACACAGTCCATGCCGGTAACTCCAGGTAGGTGAGATCCCAGAGAGATCACCTCAGAGAAGGTGAAATGAAGAGTATCCCAACTAGACAAGTGTCAGGACACCTCCGTAGCCAGGACAGTATGTATGGTCAAGTAATTCAGGTGTACATGGGTGTACAAGATGTCCTTTTACAGGAAAACAGACAGCTTCTCTCTCTGTGAGCTACTAATTTATTTTAAGAGAGACTAGGCTGGAAACGGATGCTTGCACCATAACTCCTCAGAGAGAGTCAGAGATCTCAAGTGGCTTTCATCTTTACAGTGAAGATATTATCTTACCTTGCTTTAGGTATTTCTCTTACCTTGCTTTAAGTACTTCATTGACTTTTTGTTCTAGTTCTAATCTCCTCTGCCGTTCCTTTTCTAGCTCCTGCCTTAACGTTTCAGCATTTGTTTCTTCTCTCAGTTTCCTGAGCTCCTCCTCTGTTAATTAATGGAGAAGAAAAAGATTTAGTTACCCTGAAGTATTTCTATAAGAAAATTAAAACCTAATTACGTCCGATTAGGTGGGGTTTTTTTTTATCTGTGATATACCAAATACATTCACCAGAAAAAAAAACAAGTAATCAAGGGCTAAGAGACTTCATAAAAAGCACACAGTCATATCAAAATGTTTAGTTACAATTGTAAAGCAAGGAGAAAAACAACTAAAGTTTTCTTTTCAAGATCCAAAGTATCAAAAACAAGCCCTTAGTACAAGCTAAACATGACCTACCCTTCATTCCCCAAAGAAACCATC